GATAAAAAGAGACTGGAAGAAAGAAAGCCGGGTTACCGTAAAGAAAGCCAGGTTACCCGGGGAGATTGAAAACAACATGTTTGATCAAAGAAATAGCAAAGAAGTGTGCTACTTTTATGGTGGATTTCGCCGCACGGTTCCGTAGGAATATCATCATTCCTCGACCAGAAAATATCACAATTTCAGAGAAACAAGACCTAAAAACGCAATGGATATGAAGACCTGAGAAATATGATTTACTGTGTCTTGAAGTGTGGCTTCGACGCTTTTAAAATCGCAGTGAACAAAGTTGTTACACTCCAAAGATTTCCGGCGAAAGGACATCTGCGGAGAGCTGGTGATGTTGTTCTTGCACTGCCGCCATATGTTACTAGATAGCATCATCTGTACTGTTAATCTTGAAAAAACGCAACGATTTCGACGTGGAAGCCGACAATGTTCTAAGAATATTTTGGGTCTCGGGTCGTACTAAATAACTGTCAGTGAACATTTGAGACTTTGCAATGGAGTAAGGAGGTAACTGAGATTTTAAATCTATTTTCTCAGTTAAGTCTCTAAGTCGTGAGGAGTTGCGTGACTCGCTTTTGCTCATTCTGGCCCATTCAACTGCGCGCACTTGTCCGAGATTTCTAGCCATGTTTATGACTTTCTGACTTCAAATGAATTGACATATTAAACACGAATAGATCTAATTTTGTAATTTTTTGCCCTTGTGCAGGGTTTTCATTAGCTTTTGAAGTAGAAGGGTGCTGCCTTGGGAGTTGGCAGGTACCCTAATAAGATTGAGGGCCAAAGGCCCGAACCTATAGTCCGGGGGCATGTTTCCCCGGGAAATTTTTAAAACTTAAGTCTCTCCGGAGCACATTTTCCTGCAATCTGAAAAAGACATTTTCTTGCAATGACATAAACTTAATCTAGTTTTAGAAAAAAAGAATGGTGCTCTGGGAGAATTTGATTAATTTAGTACACAGCCATGGCTACATCAAAACAGTTCTGTTGTTCTTTAGAGCCTCCTTCCTCCTTAAAGTTACAAGTTGGGTCAAACTTATGAACTTATCACGAGAGAAACTGACAACATTTTTGAAGTTTATGAAACTCAAAGTCATTAGCCATTATCAGAATCTTCAGCATCCAAATCTGTTAGCTCCAAAGCCTTGGAGGTTTCCTCTGCTTCTTCCTTAATAGAAAATTACTTTCGGTACGAGTTATCAGCAGTTTCGAGACATCGAAGGCTCCAGAAAGCAGGATTCCAATATTATAATTCCAATAATATAATTATAATAATTTTCTCAGCGCCTATACAGGCCGAAGCGTGTTACGAAAACGAAGACCCTCGAAAACTAAGTCCTAAGACCTAAGACCCGTCTTAGTTTTCGAAATTACGAAAACTAAGACACCCTAAAATCGAATCCGTCGAAATATAAAGTCAAATTGTATCCAAAATAGGTTGTAAGTACAAAAACTAAGAGGGGTCTTTGTTTTCGAAATTACGAAAACTAAGACCCTTAAATTTACCGTTAAATTTGACCTAAAACACTGTGGAAAGGATCGGACAGGAGATAATTTGACAGATTAGACCTATTTTGGTTACAATTTTACTTTGTATTTCGACGAATTCGATTCTAGGGGGTCTTAGTTTTCGTAATCTCGAAAATTAAGACGGGTCTTAGGTCTTAGCTTTTAGTATTCGTAACACCCAAACAGATTTTCACATCTAAAAGTTTTGATATGCTGACGCTCGGCTTTTGAACGCTTTTATTAGCTTTATCTTGAATGAAAAGTAAATTGGAACAAAGTTTCTTTCAAGTTTCTTACACCTGTTCGGAATATATAAGCTCTGAGAACCAAGAAAATGTTGGCTTTATGATGGGACTCACCTGTTACCTGATAAGCACCTTTTACGGCGACATTCTACTCTTATTGTTTATTTCTCATTTTCAATTGTACTTTAGACAGTGTTTAATGAACAGTTTAAGAAATGGAAAGCATAGGGAGTATAATAACTGTATGTAACTTTTCAAAAAAGACAACCGTTCCTCCGAACCCAATTAAAACCAGAAAACTTAAATTTAATTTTCTGGGTCATTGCACTTAACCTTTCATACGCAAACGAGTGCTTGCGTGCTTCCCTCAAAGGAATGTGTAAATAATAAAAGATTAATGAAATGCTCAATACTATTCTTTTGACTTTTGGTATGTAAATGACAAAAAAAATATCCAGGAAGCATTGTGCTTTTCTTTTGCTTGCCACGGTAACTGCGTAGAATGTATTTGCTTTAAACGTGTGGCACGCTACGTGCAAGAGTTACGTAATAGCTAATCAGGCACTTAAAGAACTCGATTAACGAACAGCACCTTTGTTCTCAGAGTAAGTTTTATTTTCACGATCTGGTTACAAATAATTGATAAATGAGTGCGGAAAAAAGGTTTTAAACTTACAAGGAAGAATAAATATTTAGCTGAGGTTGACAGTTTTTTTCTTGACGATATTTTTGTTTTTTTTTTGTTTGATTTCGTACTTGAAGTAGTCGGGTACTCTGTTTTGAGTAGACGGGTACCGGTACCCGGGGCCCGGCTTGTAATAAAAACCCTGCTTGTCAAAATAAAATGCAAAATTCCCCTCAATAGATAATTTAAATAGTAAAACAAGCGGAGGATATCACATAAGGACAAAAAGCGCTATATTTAATCGATGTAAATACTGGGTATTTGTAATGAAAAACTTGAACCACCTTGATTCTGCTCTTACAAAAATAAGTCAGACTACAAGGATAATTATAATGATATCATAAATATTTTCAATTTAGTTTCTTTAGCTTTTTCATCTGTGTAATAACTGAGTAGATCTTTGGCAGCTGATTGACCCACCATGACCAGCAAATTTTCTAAGTGTGGGTCAACTTATTCTCAAATTTTGTCATGAAATGAACGAAGTATTAGTTACAGAATATCTACTTGCGCCATCTAGACAGACTACGAGAAGGAGCGTTTGCTCCTGCTGCACCAGCCCTTCTCAAATTTTGTCTACTTGCGCCGTCTTAACAGACTACGAGAAGGACAATACTGAGGAGACAGAGCGTTTGCTCCTGCTGCACCACCCCTTTCATATGCTTCAACAGCCAACTCTAGGGCGGAGAAGGATGAAAGCTCAATTTGATAATGGAAATAGGTTAGCGATGGTTTCCTCCTTGAAGAAAAATGTTTTATAGGAAGTGATATTAGACTACTTCACTCAGTTTAGACATGAGGTCGCGTAGTGGTTTAAGTTACAACATACGTTTCAGATGTTTTCAACCCATGAAGCCTTCGCTTATTTTCTCTTTCTATTTCGTAAATGAAATAGATCTCTGCATAGTTGTGGTGCCGCAACAATCCACTTAAAACTAGATGGGAATATTGAAAGACTTTTACCTGCCTGAGTAATGGATTACACAAAGAAGTACAAGGAATCGACATACGAGGACAAACTTCATAATGGCCGTCTCAGTTTACTAAGAGACTATAAAAGTAATGAGCCAAAATATATGTACTCCACCTATCGTTTCAGCTTATTTCCTCTTACGTGACATAAGAACGATTACGTGATTAAAGTTACCCATAGTTCCCTCCGCCGTTCATTGTACGACGGTTTGATGACCGAAGATTATCCGATTTCATCCATACCTGGGTTCTGCTGTACCCATGAATGAGCCAAAGGTAACGTAACAAAATGCGATTTCTATACAAAATGAAGAACATGATGGTTATGAGTTAATGGGAACTGAGAATAAAGAGCTGCGACTGCCGTTTTTAAGTTAAAGGAACAGGAGTTTTTGTTATTTGTAGGTCGCGTCTAGTTTTCAGGTCAGGAAACTTCACGGCTCAAAAGAATTGAGATTCTCGGGACGTGTGATATTCCCCAGTTTAAGACTTCATCTCAGTTCAATAAAATGAAATAATTAAGTCTTCGTTTAGGTTTCGAAGAAAGATAGAAACTTGTGACGTTTTCGACAACCTTTGGCGATGGTACCACCACACGGTTTTTTAAAACTGAGTGGCTAGTTTTACAGTTTTACCGTGATTTTGCTGCTACTGTTGTACCTCCGGCATGGGAAAGACCAGCTTGACCTTGTTACAAGAATCTAAGGAAACCACGTACATGAATGAATGATACCACATCGGATCGGATTAACGTTATGTCGGGTTACTTGAACCGCCGCTGTTCAATTCTTATATCAAATATCTTTTCTCGTTTTTCAAGACCCAGTACGTCAATTTTTGCGGATGACAGCCACCTTTAATTTGCAAGCTAGAGATTTGTGAATATCAATGAACACTGACAACCTTGTGCCTTAAAAAGTGTTAAAAGGAAAAAATAGGACAATATTTTTTAAAATATATCAAATTATGAGATTTCAGCCTGACCGCTTAGCACAACATGGCTTCCTCCACCAAGAAAGCGTTTAACGTAAAGATGATTTCCTGGATTCCTGAAAATTGTTGTGGCAAGTTGTTCAAACACCTAGCCAAGATCGGTGGCATCGCAGCTGATTTACTTGTAGCACCAAACTAATAACAGGGAGGTACAGGTTCAAATCCCATCAAAGCCGTAGGTTTTTTCAGGCTTCTTTTCTGCGACGGCTTAACTTGCTGCTTGCCTTTGAGGACCATGGCCTTATTTGAAACACCAGTTAGTTTTATTCAACATGATAATTCGTCGGCTTAAAGAAACGATAATTATTGAGTCGTAAAATACACCCATGCCGGATAGAGACAAATTATTTTTCAAGGTAATTTTCAATGATATCAGAGTAATTTTTTTTATGCGCAGTACAGGACGCGCAATGAAATACTGAGGAACCACCTTAAGGTCAAACCGATCTCTAAAATGCAACAAAAATCACCACTGTTCTAATTTTCTTTGAATATGATGGAGGAAAATCCCATTTCATTGTGATGCACTTTATGATAGATTGATGACCTCATATCTACACGACAAAATCCTCAAAGTGTTGTGTATCGCCTCACGTCGCACGTTTTCATGTTCATCAGTTTCTGCTAAAGAATAGGTTAAGGAAGTCGACCATGTTAGTAAAGTGTGCTTTTAATTTGAATGTATGATATTCATATATAAGCACTGTGGTGTTAAGGAATGTATGAAGGCGATCTTTACAGTGATGAACACTACTTAGAGAGTCTCAGTGGAGGGGGAGGTCACGTTGACGGTTGACGGTTAAAAATAGGGACTTTAAGATACCTGGACGGCTGTTTCAGAGGACAGCTGACCGGAGGTAATTTTACACGTGTAGACTGCATTGCGCATGTCTGCACAACACGTGTTGCCGTCCAGTTGTTGTCGAGGACTTCAAAATTGGAGTTTTGCTGTCCACAAGTGAACGTAAGTACATTTGACGAGCATTTCTTTTCAAATTCATTCTTTTTCAATCGGCAAGGCTCTCCTTACTCTTATTTCTTGTTTTGATAAACAAAAGTTAAAAAATTGAAGTGTAAAATACCGTCGCGAATGAGTGTTTGTTTGCTGTGCTTCGCAGTGATGGCTAAT